CTGGAAAAATACCTCGAAAAACAACCAGATACACCGCACCCGGAAAAGCACCCAGATACACCACAAGCGGAAAAACACCCAGATACACTGCACCCGAGTACACTGGAAAAACACCACAATATACCACAACCGGAAAAGCACATCAATACAACACACCTTGAAAAACACCCAGACATATGCATCCTGTAAAACACCCAGATACGCTACACCCAGAAGAACATGTGGATACACGACGCCCAGAAAACACCTGATAACATCTAGATACACATATCCGGAAAAACATCCAGATACGTGGCACCTGGATACACCAAATCCGAATAAACATCACAATACATTCCACCTGGAAAAACACTGAACTGTTGTGATCTGGAATGCAAAGTGGATTCAATAGTAACTTGCAAAAGGGTGGATTGGATAAATTATTTTAATCTTTCATAGGATGGAGTATTGCTTCATTTGTTCCTGTACCCTTGAAATGAGTTTGCTCGGGTCATTTTAGATGGCAGTTAAGAGTTAAGTACATCTCTATGGGTCTGAAGTCGCATGCAGGCCAGACCATGTAAGTATGATGGATTTGCTTCCCTGAAGATCATTAGCAAATCAGATGGGTTTCCATCACGATCAGCAATTGCTTCATTGTCACCACATCTGAATTACCTTTCAATTCCAGATTTAGAACATAATAGCTAGGAGCAGGAGTAGGCCATTCAGCCCCTCAAGCCTGCTCCAACATTCAGTACAGTCATGGCTGATCTCTGCATCAACATCACTTTTGTGCCTGCTCTCCATAACCTATTATTCTTTAAAAATCTATCTCCTCAAATTTATTCAATGTCCCATTGTCCACCTCACTCTGGGGTAGTGAATTCCACAGACTCACGACCCTTTGAAAGAAGTAATTTCTTATCAAATCTGCTATCCCTTATCCTAAAACAATCATCTCTCATTCTGGATTGCCCCACATGAAGAAACATCCTTTATACATCTACTTTGTCAATCTTCTTAGCATCTCATACACCTCAATTCAATCTCCTCTCAGTTTTCTAAACTCTAGAAAATAAAGCCCTAAACTGCCCAATCTCTCTTCATACGACAAACCCCTCACCTCTGAAACTAATCTAGTGAACATTCCTAATTTATTGATTAAATTCAAATTACACCAGCTGCCATGGTGGGACTTGAATCCATATACCCAGAGAATTAGCTTAGGCCTCCGATCGCGTCCTGGAAGGGAAACATTTGATGGGAATGATGAAGAGCAGGGTGTGTGAAACTAACTGTTGGTTACTGCCTGCAACAGTACCACATTAATGGATATTCTGTTCATCAAAATATTGGCCTAGTGGCAAACCCTTTAAACACTGGGCATAATTATCATACTATCACGAGTAAGTAACAGTCTACCCAAACATGATTGTGGAACTTGCCTTAGGTAGGCAGCTTTCTTTTAACTCATTCTAGTCTCGGCAATCCGTATATTTAGACACTCAATATAAAATCCCACCTGAGCCATAGAGAATATGTAGAGACCCCAGTGTGGTACGATTGTGACACACAGAACAGTCAGCACACACTTTACAACAATGGCGAGACTCTCAGCAATCACCTGCAAAGTAAGAAACAGAAATGCAGACAAAGCATGAATGCCAGGAGCCACAGATACCCTCCCCAGCCAGACCTGAGGATCCACAAAGCAGACACCGACCATCCACCCAACCCCACCCACAGACCCGTGGATTGACAAACCACAGACACTGACACCCTCCCCAGGCCAGGGGAAATGCAAATCACTAAGACAGATCCCCGTCCCAAACCTTGTCTTTCATTTGTTCACAGGATGTGGATATCATCTAGATCATTAATGTATAATGTGAATACTTGTGGTCCCAATAGTGACCCTGAAGAACTTCAAAAGTCACCAGCTGCCACACTGAAAAAGACCCTTTAATACCCACTTTCGACCTTCTGCCAGTTAGCCAGTTCTCTATTCGTGCCAAAATAGTGGAAGACTCAACAATGACGACACCATTGAACATCAAGGGGCAACAGGTACTCTTGCTGGAGATGATCATTCACTGGCACTTGTGTCATGCAAATATTACTTGCCACTTATCAGCCCAAACCTGCATATTCTCCAGGTGCTTGCTGTATATAGTGGTGGCATGGTGGCTCAGTGCTTAGCACTGTTGTCTCACAGCGCCAGGAACCCAGGTTCGATTCCACCCTTGGATGATTGTCTGTGTGGAGTTTGCACATTCTCCCCGTGTCTGCATGGGTTTCCTCTGGTGTCCTCCCACAGTCCAAAGATGGGCAGGTTAGATGGATTGGCCATGCTAAATTAACATTGTGTCCAGGGATGTACAGGTTAGGTGGATTAGCCATGGGATATGAAGGGTTACAGGTATAGGAGAGGGGGTGGTTCTGGGTGGGATGCCCTTTGGCGGGTTGGTGTGGACTGGATGGGCTGAATGGCCTGCTTCCACACTGTAGGGATTTTATAATTCTATTCTATAGCCATGAACTGCTCCACTATCCGAGGAGTCACAAATGGTGCTGAATATTGTGTAATCATCAGTAAACATCCGTTGTTCCGACCTTAAGATGGAAGGAAGGTCTTTCGAAATGGGAGTCCCCTTTAAAACTGAAAAGGAAACATGGAACATAGGAGAAGGAATAGGCCAGTCAGCCCTTCCAGCCTGCTCCACTGTTCAGCATGATCATGGCTGATAATCCAAGTCAGTACCATGTTGACACCTTCTCTCCCTATCCTTTGATCCTTTTAATCACAAGAACTATCCCTACATCTTTCTTGAAAGTCTTCTACGTTTTGGCCTCAACAATGTAACAGAGAGTTCTCCAGGCTCACCACTCTCTGGGTGAAGAAATTGTTCCCCATCTCTGGCCTAAAAGGCCAACACCACATCTTTATGGCTCTAAACTCCCCAGTCATTGCAAACACCCTACCTTCACCTCCCCTGTCTACTCCTGTTAGAATTTTATAGGTTTCTAGGAGATTCCTCCCCTTATTCTTCCAAACTCTCATGAATACAGTCCTAACTGATCTAGTCTCTCCCTGTATAACAGTCCCGCAATCCTCGGAATCTGTCCTGTAAACCTCATTGCATTGCCTCCATAACCAGAACATCACTCCTCAGTAAGGAACCATTATGGCACACAATACCCCAGGTGTGTTCTCACCAAGATCTTACATAATAAGCAGCAAGACATCCCTGCTTCTATACTCGAATCCTCCCACTATGAAGGCCAACACATCATTTGCCTTTTTCACCTGCATGTTTACCTCCAGTGACTGGTTTACGAGGTTGCCCAGATTTTGTTGCACCTCGTCCTTTCTGAAACTATACCATTCAGATAATAATCTGCCTTCCTACTTTTGCTACAAAATTGAATAATGTCACACTTATTCACGTTATACTGCTCCTGCCATGCATTTGCCCATTTATTTAACTTGTCCCAATCACTATAAAATCTTTTAAAATTTCATATTTAGTATGTTCTGTGTCACATGAGATACATTTAACAGTTACTATAGTAACTAGTCTTCTACAAACGTAAATAAATGATTTATCAGGCATCACATTACCCTATTACCAATGCAGCGTTTGGTTTTAGAAAGAATGGCAACTAACCTTCAAACAGAGGTGAGCAGGAGGACAACAGTCATCGTGACATCATGAGTATTTACTTATGGTCAATGGCCATTTGGGTTCAGACTTGTGATTGACACAGCATAGACTGCCAGCCACCAGAAGAAGAAATATTAGCAGAAGTAAGAGGTGAATTGGAGAGAGGAGAATTCAGGGGAATGAGCTATCACTTTCTTAGGAGAAGACCAAGACTTTGAAAGAAGAACAAAAGACTGTGGAACAACAGGGATGAACACCTTGTTATTCCAAAGCACAGGGGCCCACCTCCCCTGCTTTGTCATTCCACAAAACAGCTTCAGGATCGATAAAACATTTTCATCTGCAAAAGGTTGTACATTTCCTTTCGGTGTCTAATTAAATAGCACATTGTATTTAAACTGCTGTTTAACAAATTCAATTAACTTTCTGAAAATTGCTAACAAATAGTTGGCTGCCTATTAGGTACCTTCTGCCTTCCATTTTTGCATTGGGTATTACATCTTTCTGTCTTCTATTCCTAGTTAAGTCTATTTTTTGTTTTCTATTTCTATTTTTGTTTTCCTCACTTCTGTCTCCATGACTGGGTTCCCAAGCCAACTCCACAGTGCCATAGTGCTAATGACATTTTACAATAACCCAGAAACCCACTCTAATGCACTGGGAACATTGGTTCAAATACCATCAGGGCAACTGGCTGAATTTAAATTCAATCAATAAATCTGGATTTGAAAGCTTGTCTCAATAATAGTGACCATGACAACTAGCCATTGGTTGCTATACTTATGACTTCAGACCCACAGCAATATGGTTGATCTTAACTACCCTCTGAAGTGGCCAAGAAAGCCATTTACTTCAAGGGCAATTAAGGATGTGCAACAAACACTAGGCTGTCCCACGAAAAGAATAAAGCTAAACTATCCAATAACTTGGTCAGAGATAGTAGGAACTGCAGATGCTGGAGAATCTGAGACAACAAGATGCAGAGCTGGATGAACACAGCAGGCCAAGCAGCACCATAGGAGCAGGAAGGCTGACGTTTCGGGCCTAGACCCTTCTTCAGAAATGGGGGAGGGGAAGGGGGTTCTGAAATAAATAGGGAGAGGGGGGGAGGCGGATAGAAGATGGATAGAGGAGAAGATAGGTGGAGAGGAAACAGACAGGTCAAAGAGGCGGGGATGGAGCCAGTAAAGGTGAGTGTAGGTGGGGAGGTATAGAGGAGATAGGTCAGTCCAGGGAGGACGGACAGGTCAAGGGGGCGGGATGAGGTTAGTAGGTAGGAAATGGGGGTGCGGCTCGAGGTGGGAGGAGGGGATAGGTGAGAGGAAGAACAAGTTAGGGAGGCGGGGATGAGCTGGGCTGGTTTTGGGATGCGGTAGGGGGAGGGGAGATTTTGAAGCTTGTGAAATCCACATTGATACCATTGGGCTGCAAGGCTCCCAAGCGGAATATGAGTTGCTGTTCCTGCAACCTTCGGGTGGCATCGTTGTGGCACTGCAGGAGGCCCAGGATGGACATGTCGTCTGAGGAATGGGAAGGGGAATTGAAATGGTTCGCGACTGGGAGGTGCAGTTGTTTATTGCGAACCGAGCGTAGGTGTTCTGCAAAGCAGTCCCCAAGCCAGCTCATCCCCGCCTCCCTAACCTGTTCTTCATCCCACCTATCCCCTCCCTACCTCAAGCCGCACCCCCATTTCCTACCTACTAACCTCATCCCGCCCCCTTGACCTGTCCATCCTCCCTGGACTGACCTATCTCCTCCCTACCTCCCCACCTACACTCACCTTTACTGGCTCCATCCCCGCCTCTTTGACCTGTCTGTTTCTTCTCCACTTATCTTCTCCTCTATCCATCTTCTATCCGCCTCCCCCTCTCTCTCTATTTATTTCAGAACCCCCTTCCCGTTCCCCATTTCTGATGAAGGGTCGCGGCCCGAAACATCAGCCTTCCTGCTCCTATGGTGCTGCTTGGCCTGCTGTGTTCATCCAGCTCTGCACCTTGTTGTTTCTAATAACTTGGTCAAACAGGAATCCTCTTCCTTATTCTTTCATGGAATGTGGGCCCCACCATTTGTTGCCCATTCCTAGTATTCCTTGAGCCATGTGGCTTTCTTGGCCATTTCAGAAGACAGTTAAGACTTAACTCCACTGGTGGTCTGCATCACGTGAAGGCCAAACTAGGTAAAAACGGTAGACTTCATTCACGAAAGACCATCTGTGAACCAGGTGGGTTTTCTCCAATAATGAGTGATAGATTCACAGTCACTATGACTGAGACTAGCTTTCATTTCAAGAGATATTTATTAATCAAATTTAAATTCCATCATTTGCTTGGTAGAATTCAAACTTGTGTCCCCAGAGCCTTGAAATGACTTATCCAGTAACATTATCACTATGCCGACGTCTGCCCATAAAACCATGCTGATTTGTTCTAATAATACTAAGCTTTTCTATGTGCATTATTAAGACTTCCTTACTATTAATTTCCAACACTTTCAAGATGACTAATAGCAAGCAACCTTGCTTGTAGATTGTTCTCTCCCTTTCTTGCATATCGCTGTTATCTATGTGGCTTCCAATTTGCTGGGACCATTCCAGAACTAGGGAACTTTGAAAAAGCATAGCCAGTATATACTCCATCTCTCTACCTATATCCTTTAGAATAATAGGACACAGGCCAGTAGGTTCTGGTGATTTGTCCAATTTTAGTCCCTTAAATTTCTCTGGTACTTTTACTCTGCTGATATTAATTACCATAATTACACTGCTTGTCAGAGAACTGACTCCCCTGGTGACGCACATCCAACCTAGACCTGTGGTCAAGGAATTGGCCAATCCCCCACCACCTCTTAACCCAACCAGGGGATGATAAATCAATGCAAGGGAAACATTCCCAGGTACAAGTTTCCATTTTATGATGTAATCAGTCTGTCTGCTTTGGAAGTAACTGCAACAAACCACAGCTAGAGAGAGCAAATGAATTACATTTAAATGCTTACAGAACCAGCTCCAACCTGAGACATCAATGATATACTGATCAGCTGGCCAATGGTTCTCATAAATTATCGATAATCTGTGCAGCTAGCAGGTACTTGCTTGAATTGGCAAAAATCAGCCAGGTTTCCCGCACTGTGTCATTATTCAATGACCTCTGTGGGTGCAGAAATTAGGTCAGGCAGATCAGGCTTAGCTGTGCTGCCACACAGGGTAGAAAAGTGCCAATGCACACTGACCAGCACCACATAAAACAAGCAGCCACATGGGCACAGCAATGAAGCTGTCAGCCCCTCAGGATCAAGACCACAACATTTCAGCAACTTTGGGGGAAGGGAATCTTGGAAAAATAAAAATATGAAACAAAAGTTTTTAAGGTCAACAAGTCAATCACAATTTATGAATTACTCACCTTTAGCCTCACCAACATATGCACCTGTGCCAAGATCCACAACGGCTCAGAGAGGAGTTCTACTATAGCAGAGAGACCGAATGCCACCACGCCAACTTCATAATGAGGTATCACAGCTGGATCTGGGGTTGTTACCAAATGAAGCCAGACCCAGCCCAAAAGTAAAGACCAGAGCACTCCAAGTGGAACACTGAAATAAACAGCAAGCAAACAACCATTACTACAAACTATAAATAGGTTGTTTCAGAGTGGTACAATAGTTCTTGGTCCTCATTGATCTGATCCTAACTCCCATTCCAATCTGAAGTTTTACATAATTTCAGTTTGTGAAATAAACTTGAGAACAGGAGGAGCTAGTCAACTGGACACAAAATTGGCTTAAAGATAGGAGACAGAGGATGGTGGTAGAAGGTTGCTTTTCGGACTTGAGGCCTGTGACCAGCAGTGTCCCACAAGGATCGGTGCTGAGTCCACTGGTTTTCATAATTTATATAAATGATTTGGATGTGAATATAGGAGGTATGGTTAATAGGTTTGCAGATGGCACCAAAATAGGTGGTACAGTGGACAGTGAAGAAGGTTACCTCAGAGTACAACGGGATCTTGATCAGATGGGCAAATGGGCCAAAGAGTGTCAGATTGCGTTTAATTTTGATAAATGTGTGGTGTTGCATTCTGGTAAGCCTATCAAGGGCAGGACTTGTACAATTAATGGTAGGACCCTGGGTAGTGTTGCTGAACAAACACAGCTAGTGGTGCAGGTAAATAGCTCTTAGACAGGCTGGTGAAGAAGGCATTTGACACATTTGCCTTCATTGGTCACTGCATCGAGTACAGGACATCATGTTGCGGCTGTACAGGACATCGGTGAGGCCTTTTTTAGAATACAGCGTTCATTTCTGGTCCCCCTGATATAGTAATGATGTTGTTAAACTTGCAAGGGTTCAGAAAAGATTTACAAGGATGTTGCCAGAATTGGCGGGTTTGAGACATAGGGAGAGGCTAAACAGGCTGGGGCTTTTTTTTCCCAGACTGTTGGGGACAGAGGTGTGACCTTACAGAGATTTTTGAAATCATGACAGTCATGGATAGGGTCAATAGCTACATTCTTCCTCCCAGGGTGGGGGAGTCCAAAACAAGCAGGCATAGGTTTAAAGGGGACCTGAGGGGCAACGTTTTCATGGAGAGTGTATGGAATGATCTACCAGAGACGGTGGTGGAGGTGGGTACAAATATAACATTTAAAAGGCATCTGGATGGGTACACGAATAGGAAGGGATTAAAGGATTATGGGTTAAATGTGGGCAGATGGGACTAGATCAGTTTAGGATATCTGGCCGGCATGGGTCAGTTGGACCGAAGGGTTTGTTTCCATGCTGTATAACTCTATAACTCTTCACAATTCTCACAAAATTAGTCCAGTGAACAAAAACTGCTCAGAATTTGGCATTTATTGATCTTTTCATTGGTCTTAATTTGACTTCACAGATCATTACTGTAGTGCACACTTATTACCCTATACAACATACAATAGGGCAAATAATTGCAACAATGGCAGAACAGAACCCAAGATTGTGACTGGAAAAGGGCAGATTTTAGCGCTCAAAAAGTTGAACAGGAGCACATTAATTGGAAATGCATTTTGGTGAATAAAACAGTGGCGGAAAATGGGAGAATTTTAAAAGGGACATAAATAGGGTGCAAGTTAGGTATATATCCATGAGAAATAAATACAGGGTATCCAATGGCAGAGTACCCTAAATGCCTTAGGATATTGATAAGGAAGCAAGAAAGGGAAAAAAGAGGCATCTGATGCATACCGGAATGAAAATAGCAACAGAAATTAGGAACAGTGTCTCAAATGCAGGGGAGAATCTAAGGCTGAAATAAGGAAGGCTAAGAGGAGGCATCAGGAAAGGATGGCAGGCTGCACTAAAACAAATAGTAAATTGTTCTTCAAATATATTACAGGGAGTTCTGCTATAGTGTATGTTTCTTCAATGCAAATTGGCTTTAACACGATTGAAGAATTTAGACCGCTATTCCTAGAGCATAAACTTTCCTTATCTGTACTGGCTATAATGTGATTCCAGCCCCATTAGTTTAAATGAGGCGGCTATTGTGTGATTGTCTTATAATGCAAGACTGCATGAGAACGGAACTACTGCGTTGTATCAGAAGTGATTGTAATAGTAAAAGATTAATGAAGGATAGAGTGAGGCCCATAAGGGTTTGGCAGAGGTAATAAATCAATGCTTTGCTTCTGTCTTTAACAAATTAGAAAATGATAACAATGGGCCAGTTGAAAACATGATTGTTGAACAACTGATCATATAGTCCATGTAGAGACGTCACCGGTTCCTAAACGGAAACATCCCAGGTTGCTGAGAGAGTTGAGGGAGCAATTCGCAGAGCTGTTGACAGAAAGTTTTCAGACCTCTCTGAACACAGATTAGTCTCCGGGTCGTAAATCATAGAATCCCTACAGTGTGGAACCAGGCCCTTTGGCCCAACAAGTCCACACCAACCCTCAGACATCCCACCCAGACCCATCCCCCTATAACCCACCCAATCTACACATCGCTGAACACTATGGGCAATTTAGCATGGCCAATCCATCTAGCCTGCATATCTTTGGACTATGGGAGGAAACCAAAGCACCCAGCGGAAACAATGCAGCCATGGGGAGAATGTGCAAACTCCACACAGACAGTCACTCAAGGGTGGAATTGAACCCGGGTTCCTAGCGCTGTGAGGCAGCAGTGTTAACCACTGACCCACCGTGTCGCCCTATGCAACACCATTGTTTAAGAAAGAGGCAAAGGATAACTCAGGAAATGACAGAGCTGTCAGCTTGACATTAATAGTGGGAATAATGTTGGAGATCATAATATGGGATCAGGTAAATATACACTTAGAGAAAAATAAGTTAATGCTAGACAGTCAACATGGCTTTATCAAAGTCAGATCCTGTCTGACAAATTTAATAGGTTTCTTGGATGAGGTGGCACAGGCAGCGGATGAGGGTGGTGTTATGGATGTTGTATATTTGGACTTTCAAAAGTATTTGATACAGTGCCACATTTTAAGGTTGGTGAGCAAATTAGAAATATTTGGGATTGATGGGTCCTTGGCAGCAGGGATTAGAAGCTGTTTAAAAGATAGGAAACAGAGGGTAGGTATAGATGGACATTTCTCAGATTGAAGATGAATTGAAAGTGGTATTCCCCAGGGATTGGTGTTGGAACCCTTGCTTTTTCTGATTTACATAAATAATTTGACGATGGATATTGAGGGCAAAATCTCTAAACTTGCAGATGATACAAAGCTAGGGAGAATATTGAATTGTGAGGATGATACTAACTGACTTCAGAGGGATACTGACAAGTTGGCCAAAAGGGTAGACACCTTGCACATGAGTATCAAAACAGAGAAATATGAGATAATGCATTTTGTTAGAAGAAACATCGAGACAATACAGGCTCAATGGTAAAACTTTGAGAGGAGTACAGGAGCACAGGGACTTCAAGGTTCATATGCATCATTCTCTGAAGGTGGCCAGACATGTTGAAACAGTTGTTAAGAAGACTTATAAGATCCTTGGGTTTATAAATAGAAATATAGGGTACAAAAGAAAGAAAGGAAGTGATGCAACACCTCTACAAATCATTGGTCAGACCATGTTTCAATTTCAATTATTCATTTTGTACGATGTGGATGTCACTGGCTGGACCAGCATTTATTGCCCATCCCTAGTTGCCCTTGAGCAGGTGGGGCTGAGTTGCTTTCTTGAACTGCTGCAGTCCTCCTGCTGTGGTTGACCCACAATGCCATTGGGGAGAGAATTCCAGGATTTTGACCCAGTGACAGTGAAGGAATGGCAATATATTTCCAAGTCAGGATGGTGAGTGGCTTGGAGGGGAACTTGAAGGTGGTGGTATTTCCATATATTTCCTGCCCTTGTCCTTCTAGATGGAAGTGGTCGTGCGTTTGGAAGATGCTGTCTGAGGATTTTTGGTGAATTCCTGCAGTGCATCTTGTAGATAGTACACACTTCTGCAACTGAGCGTCGGTGGTGGGAAGGAGTGGATGTAGTGCCAATCCAGCGGGCTGCTTTGTCTTGAATAGCGTCAAGCTTCTTGAGTGTTGTTGGGGCTGCACTCATCCAGGCAAGTGGGGAGTATTCCATCACATTCCTGACTTGTGCCTTGTAGATGGTGGACAGGCTTCGGGGAGTCAGGAGGTGAGTATTCCAAGCCTCTGTCCTGCTCTTGTCGCCACTGTGAGTGAGTGAGTATGTGGTGAGTCCAGTTGAGTTTCTGATCAATGATAACTCCCAGGATGTTGATAGTGGGCGATTCAGTGGTGGTAACACCACTGAATGTCAAGGGGCGGTGGTTAGATTGTTTCTTGTTGGTGATGGTCATAGCCTGCCATTTGTGTGGCATGAATGTTACGTGCCACAAGCCGGGGTATTGTCCAAATCATGTTGCATTTGGACATGGACTGTATGCAATATTCCAAACATGGCTTAACTAAATTTTATACATAACTTGCTAACTTTTACATTTGCTGCTCCGACTGATGAAGGCAAGTGTGCCGAATGCCTTCTTGACCACCTTATCCACTTGTGTTGCTACTTTCAGGGATCTGTGGACCTGTATGTCCAGATCCCTCTGTATGTCAATATTCCTAAGGGTTCTGCCATTTATTGTATAGCTCGCACTTGAATTTGATCTTCCAAAATGCATCACCTTGCATTTGTCCAGATTCAATGCCACATGCCATATCTCTGCCCAAATTTGCAATCTACCTATATCTCACTATATCCTTTGACAATCCTCCTCACTGTCTGCAACTCCGCCAATTTTGCTATCATCTGCAAACATAATGATCAGACAACATATATTTTCCTCCAGATCATTATAAACAACAGATCACTATAAACAACAAAGGTCCCAGCAGAAAGGGATTTTATTGGAATCTCCACCACAAGTGGAATGTTCTTGCAGGAGAATTTAAGCTGTACATCACTGTCCCCAGAGAAGTGATGTTAGCCAGCCATAATTGATCCAGGAAGACACCTCAGAGCTAAAGATGTGTGCAAAGTAACTTCAGCTATGGAACACAATTTGGATATGTATGAATAATTATTTTTTCCTGAATTTAACAGCCATTTAGCCAAAGTATTTTTAAGACAATGCTGCAGAATTTTATAGCTCAAAGCTTCAATAAATGATTTTTACATCATTTATCTAGTAACTTCTGCACGCAATAAACCAGTCTTTATTTTTTACTTGGAAAAAAAACCTGGCTGACTTGTTTCAGATATTAAGCAATATAAAGACTGAAATCCCTTCTTTTTTAAATTCCAGTGCTCTTATAACCAGTGGACAAGTGGGACAAAGAGAGAAATCAGTTCATGACCCCTCCAAACTGATCATATTAACAAACACAAAAAGAAGGATACTGATAACACAGTGTGGAGCTGGAGGAACACAGCAGACCAGGCAGCGTCAGAGCAGCAGGAAAGTTGATGTTTTGGGTTGGTTCTGAAGGAGGGTTCTGAAGAAGGGTCCCAGCCTGAAACATCAACTTTCCTGCTCCTCTGATGCTGCCTGGCCTGCTGTGTTCCTCCAGGACACACTGCATTATCTCTGACTCCAGCATCTGCAGTTCTTACTATTTCATAAGGATACTGATGTTTCGTTGTTAAAGCTGCATTCGGCAAAATAAAGGGTTTTATAATGCTTGCGAAAACACACATTCAAGCACATGCACTGGGCTGTCCCAGTTGTCTTAACTGGTATAATTTAGAATTGTTATAATTGCAGCAGGATAAACATACAATAGAGGGGAATTTGCTATTCATGCGTGCCTCCTCCATCTATTAAGCAAATTTGGAGCATATTAGGATGCATTGTATTGGACTTACACAGTGATTACTCCTTGTCAATATTTACAAAGAAGACCGACCAGAAAGAAGCATTAACAAGCTGCAGCTTTCTGATTGTGATTAGTGTGACTATATTATCATTGAGGAGTCTCCTATCCCAAAGATACTCCATCTGTTGAGGAGATAATTGACCAAAAACAACTGGGTGAGACGTGCTGGCACTGTTAAGCTCTGCTGGATACTCACGTTAACCAGAGCAGGTTTATAACCTGGGCCCATTTCTGTTCCATACCAACATTCAAGCATGCTTTCCGAAAAGCTTCTCGTGCAAGGAAAACAACTGTAGAATACAGCAGCGTGAGCCTGGATGGAGAAAGACCGGCAGCAGTTACCCAAATACAAAGTGGCTTATAGCCAAAGATAAAGTCAGAGAAAGCACAACTTGTATATGCCTTGAATTTTATTCTGAATCAGGATTAGATCACGAACGGGGATGGTACCTGGGATCAGCAAATTATTGAACCGCACGACTCAGAAGGCGGCCATTTGGTTCATCATACCTATGCTGGCTCTTATAAGTATCTATTTAATGAATCCAGTTCGTCTGCTCTTGTCACACAGTCCTTTCTTTTTAGGCCTTAATTCCCTTTGGAAAGTTTCAATGAATCAGCTTTTAATACTCTTTTGGAGAGCACATTTTTGTTCATTCTTATGTGGAATATGAGCATCACTGAAAGGTGAGTACGTCGCTGAAAGATGCTCACAGCTGTGAAAAATAATGGCCTGAATCTTGTGTTACTTTTTGGCCAAGGGTCAGCTTTGTCCAGTATCAGAGGGTTTCTGTCTGTGAGTCCCAACAAGAGCTTAACTGTATCTTATCAAACTTGCCTCACTAAGTAGCAGTCCTGAAGGTGCCCCCTCACCGGATTCTAGCCTCTTTCTTCCACCCTGTTTCTTGAAGTACTCATCACTCTCAGAACATTTGCCACAAATGCTTCACAAATGCTGCCAGACCTGCTGAACTTTTCCAGCAACTTTGTTTTTGTGGCTAGGGGAATAGCAAGTTCTGAAACACATGTCTTCAGTACTATTGCTGGATTGCTGTCAGAGCCCACAGCCTTTGCAGTACCAGTACCTCCAACTATTTCTATATGTCATTTGGAGTGAATTCAATTGGCTGAAGACTGGTATCTGTGATGCTGGGGCCTCTGGAGGAAACTGAGATGGATCATCCACTCTACACTTGTAGCTGAAGATTGTTGCAAACGCTTTTTCCTTTTGCACTGATGTGCTGGGCTTTCCCATTACTTAGGATAGAGATATTTGTGGAGCCTCTGATCCAGTGTATTGTTTAATTGTCCACCACTACTGATGACTGGATGTGGCTGGACTGCAGAGCTTAGATCTGATCCATTGGTTGTGGGATTGCTTAGCTCTGTCTATCATTTGCTGCTTATGCTATTTGGCGCACAAATAATCATGGTTGGTAGCTTCACCAAGTTGACACCTCATTTTTACGTATGCTCTGTCATTGCTCCTGGCATGCCTTCCTGCACTCTCCATTGAACCAAGGTTGATCCCCTGTCTTGATGGCAATGGCTGAGGGGGAAATATGTTGAGCCATGAGGTTGCAGATTGTGCTGGATTGTGGCTCATGGATTCCCAGTTTTGAGTTGCTAGATTCATTTAAGATCTATCCCATTTAGGACTGTGATAATGCCACACAACACAACAGAGGGGTTCTCAAAGTAAAGGCAGGGCTTTGTCTCCACATGACTTTGTGGTGATCACACTTACTGATACTGTCATGGACAGATTGATCTACTGCTGACAGATTGGTAAGAATGAAGTCAGATATGTTTTTCCCTCTTGTTTCCCTCACTACCTATCGCAAAGTCCTTTAGGACATCGAAATTCCCCAACCAGAGTACATTCTGTGCCTTTGCCATCTTCAGTACTCTCTCCAAGCGTTGTTCAACATGGAGGAGTTCTGATTCATTAGCCAAAGGAGGTCAGTACGTGGTAATCAGCAGGAGGTTTCCTTGCCCACGTTCAACCTGATACCATGAGACTTCATGAGATCCGGAGTTGATATTGAGGACTCCAAGCGCAGCTCCCACATGACTGTATGCTCCTGTGCTACCACCTCTGCTCGGCCTATTCTGCCAGTAGGACAGGACATATCCAGAGATGGGGTTGGTGGTGTCTGGGACGCTGTCTGTAAGGTATAATTTCATAAGCATGACTATGACTAGTCTGTGACATAGGTCTCTCAATACTGGAACTAGTCCCCAGATATTAGTAAGGAGAACTTTGCAGCGTTACCAGGGCTGTTTGTGCCATTATTTTAGTGCTTAGGTCAATGCAAGTCAGTCCGTCCGGTTTCATTTTTTTGTTGACATTCATAGTGATTGATATAAATGTGTGGCATGTGAGGCCATTTCAGAGCGCAGTTGAGAGTCAGCAACATTGCTGTGGGCCTGGAGTCACATGAGCCAGTCCAGGTGAGGATGGCAGATTTCCTTCCTTGAAGGACATTTGTGAAGCACATCTCACGATCAACAATAGTTTCATGGTCAGGAGATTCTTAATCCCAGACATTGTCATTGATTTATAAATTCCACCATCTGCCACAGTGGGATTCGAACCCAGGTCCTCAGAACATTAGCTGTGTTTCTGTTTCTACGCCATCATCTGCCTCTTTATTCTTTTCCCTTTGATCTTCTTATAGAATATCTTGTGATTCTACCTAATGTTACCCACTTGTGTTTCTCCATGCCCCCTCTTTGCTCTCGTAACTGTTTTCTTAAACTCCCCCTACACTTTCTATATGCCACTAGGGCATCTATTGATTTGCTCCCACTAAAAGCCTCTCTTTATTCGTCTCATCCAGCCCTGAATATTCCTACGTTAGCAAACAGGAAACTACGAAGACAGTTGAGGGTTACTGAGATAATTCTTGTGATTCTTGCACTTGTCAAAACGCTGCTTTTTGGTCTTCCTTCACTGGTTTACATGAGGCACAGGCTGGCTGGTTCACTTATAAAAGGTCTCTAACTCATCAATTCAAGGTCACAGCCTACTGCTGAAGGAAAGATGAACTGGTTTTCTTCAGGACTGAACAGACTTGTTACTGCAGAGACCAGAGAGAGGTCCTGAACTGGTTGAGATCTGACAGCTACTTCTATCCTGTTCATAGCCCCAAGCAGTTCAGTTACCGAAGTACCAATCACATAGATTGGCCGGCAGAAGCCCTTCGTCATGAATACTTGGTCACTAGTCCATTGACATCTGGATTTGGGGATTTGGCCACTTGTAAGCCTGCTAAGACCTCTAATACTTCTTCATTCCCTTCGTTTATCTGCTCAAGGACCTCACAGTCGCTTTTCCCAAACTCCATATTACCTCGTTCTTCGCTGAGTGAAGTACTTGTTTAACACCCTACCAACGTCCTCCGGTTCTACACAGGTTGCCCTTTTGGTCCCTAGTCAACTTATTTTTGCCAACCAAAGTTCCAGGTCATCTACAAACTACACATCAGTTACTGCTTGAACAAGTTAGTGTGTACACAATGCTTATAGTGAATCTCAGGGTGCTTGCACTCAAAACAAAGAGAATTCTTCCAGCAACCCTGCATTTTTAAAAAAAAATTACTTTTCCCATTTTAGTACACAATTAAAAATACAGAAAAATAATAAGACACAGTCTTTAAAGTATATCACCCTTAATCCCAAGCACAAACTAACATTCATAAAGGCACGATCCAAATACACACGACACAGCCCTACAGAGTGCTTAAGAGTGGAAAAATAGAGAAACCCCTCTGCATTAAAAATCCAAATCAAAAGGGCAGAATGAGGTAATCTTCTCACAATTCTTTTGGTTTATTTTCAACCAAGTGACTGTAGATCACTGATTAATGGGAAAATGTCAAACCATGTTTCAGGTTCAAATGACAAACGGAAGACCTAATATTTGAAACATTTTCAGTTTTTTTTACAAACAGCTTCACTGAATGAGATATGGAGAGTGCTGCTTTCAGGTACAAGCTTGGATTCTTACAGACCAAGACAATACCTTTGCAAATTTCTTCAGCAACCATCAAATCCTTTTCAACACAGTAAAGTCCAAGTGACTATTTGCAATTCTCAATCCATAAACACATGCATTCCAAACAAAGGGTGCCACGGGTTGACTTCTCGCAGTTCCTCGGATGAATTTGCTGTCGTCCACCCGCAAACTGGAGGAACACCACTTCCTATTCCGTCATGGGAGCCTACAACCCAATGGCCTAAACGTGGATTTTACCAGTTTCAGGATCTCCCCACCCCCAGCCTCATCCCATGACCAATCCTCCCTCTCATCCCCGCCTCCTTGACCTGACACAACCTGTCCATCTTCTCTCCCACCTAACCACTCCTCCCACCTCACTGACTAATCCCCACCACTGCCTACCTGCACTCACCTATCACCATCCCACCTACCTTCCCCATCCCCACCCCTTCTCTCTATTTATTTCTGAGCTCCCTTCCCCCTCCCCATTTCTGAAGAAGGGTCCCAACCCGAAACGTCAACTTTCCTGCTCCTCTAATGCTGCCTGGCCTGCTGTGTTTCTCCAGCTCCTCACTGTGTCATTAGTGAACCAGATGCATTTTTTTCTAAAATCAATGGTTTCTTGGTCGTCATTAGACTCCTAACTCCATATATTTATTGAATTCAAATTCCATCATTTGCCATGGCGGGATTCAAATCTGGGTCCCCAGAACATTATCTGGGTATCTGTATTAGCAATCCAGTGATAACACCACGAGGCCACTGCCTCCCCTTGACACGAGACATTTTCCAAAAAAGTTCACAGACCTGGCTCCCTGAAATATTCAAACCAATTCCCATACCCATAAATACATCTGTGTTTCTAACAACAGTGCACAGTTAGTAGTGTGGTTGCCCCTTTTTTGTTTCTGGACTCAACCCACAAGGTCTCATTTAATACTGCAATTAGTATATCATCTACCCTCACATTGTTGATACTGTAGCCAATAACGTTACTCTTCTACCTTTTTAATCCCTTTTTCTATCCCACCTGAAAACTTTACATCAGGTACGTTAAGCTGCTACCTTTGCCCACTTTATTCTAAGTTTCAATTAAAGCAACAATATAATGGTGCCACATGTTTATCTGTGCCCTCCGTTCATCAGCTTTATTTGCTATACTCCTTACATTTACAAATATACCAATGAATACTTCCAAATTTGTGCATATACACTTGCTTCCTCAGCCTTTCAGTCGCTGTCTAAAGACCACGTCTTTTTATTTTTCTGAACTTTTGAAATTGGGACTGAAATGGGAAAACGACTGTTTT